TACTGTGCCCTCCCTGCTCCCAGACTGAGCCTCTGACAGCCCCATCCACCCACCCACCCATATAGCTCGGCCTCACAGAGCCCCCAGCCATGCTGCCCCTGCACCAAGATAGACAGGCACAGCAGGGCAAGAATTTGCAGAAATCCCACCAGGTCCCACGCGGGCCAAACCCTAGCCCACACATCCTCCCTGCCCGCGCCCCCGCCCACCCCGAGACACGTGTGCCTTCTTAGCCAGAAGCCCCACACTTCATTGCCTTCCTGACTGACCGCACACCTGTGACCTCAGCCTTCCGCCCTCCCAGGGCCTGCAGACACCCGATCCACAGTGTCACTACAGCCCACCTTGAAATGGACCCTGAGACCAAGCATTGTCCCGAGAAGCTTTGGGGAGATCGGAGCCACCACACACTTTCCACTTGTGGGAAAAGGCTCTTGCTACACATGCGATTTCAGAGGTTCTTCAGGCCCTGAAGCACTTCTCTAACAGCCTGCCTAAGAGACACGGCATTTCTCTAGTGTTTCCTTCTGGTGGCTAAGGGATTCCCATCTTTGGTAGGTAGATTCCGCTTGTCAAGAAAGGCTGGCAGTCACTGAGCTGTTATTAGTCATCTATACCCCGGGGTGGATGAGTTTACCAGGCCCTTTCATGAGAGTGTGTCTCAGGAAGGGACAGGGTAGCAGAGGGAAGACCAGCCAGGGCTCCTGGAGGAGGAGGAGACGCACAGGATGAGGTGAGCCCCAGGGCGAAGAGCTCAGAGGGGCCTGGAGAGCTCTCAGCCGGACTCTGGTCCAGTCCTGGGCCCTCCATGGAATAGCAAACTCTGGAAGGACACAAACAGTGAGTAGGAGCCTGGCCTGGGTGTGCAAAGCCCCTAAGGATGAGCTCTCGCTCCCACCCTTCATGGCCCAGACTTGCAATGGGCCTCAGATAAGGAGTCGGATAAGCACCGCTTATCATTGCACACAACCTTGGACTCCCACTCGCCTGAGGACAAAGTCAGGCATGGTTTGCCCAGGGCCCCAGGGCTCCCCAGAGAGCCCCTCATTTCTGCAGCCCTCATCAAAAGGCTGGGGCCCTCAGAGTGGTTCTCCCACAGCCTTCTGAGGCCTGGGGTAGCAGGAACCAGGGCCCAAGCTCATGGCCAGTCACCTGATGCCTCCAGCTCAGTGGATGGACAGGGAGCACAGGTGAGGGACGGGCTGGTGCCAGAAGCCCTGCTTCCCCTGGAAACCCCAGCCACGGGCCCCTTTGCAGGGATGCTCCCAAAGATGCCATCCTCTTCCCAGTCCCGACAGCAACCCACAAAGGGCAGCGGGCAGCAACCTTGGCTACTTTCATTTTCAGATGAGAAGGCTGAGGCTCAAAGCACTCAGTAACTTCCCTCAGGCTGTGCGGCGAGTTCACGGCAAATCTGGTTCCTGGCTCCTTTCCCAGGTGAGAGTTTCTCAACCTCAACAGGACTGACACTTGTGGCCGGACAATTCTTTGTTGTGGGGGCTGTCCTGAGCATTTTAGGACCATTAGCAGATCCCTGGCCTCTACCCACTAGATGCCAGTAGCATTCCGAGTTGTGACAAACAAAAATGCCATCGGACATTGCCAAATGTACCCTGGGAGGCAAAACTGTTCCCAGTTGAAAACTACTGGCCTAGAAGGACCTGAAAGCCAGGCGCCTGCCAATTCTAAACTGAAGGGCATCCGCTGGGGGCTCTGGCCCTACATGTGCCAGGCGGGGGGCCTGAAGGTGCCGGGGAGTGCCCTGTGGGCTCAGCAGCCTCTGGGCAGAGCTGCCCCACTGGAGGCATTGCCACTTGGGAATCTTGTCCCAAGACCGCCTCCCCACCCCACCCTACAAACCCATCCCCTCCCTGGCATTCAATATTTCAGTGGTCTTTCAGTTATTTTGATCACACACTCCTGTGAGTAAAAAAATTTTGAGCACCCCCAAACAAGCTTTTTTTCTCAGAAGCTACTTATAAATACCAGCATATGACATATCATGCATGTGAGCAAATATACATAAAAACAGATGAGAAGGGAAACGTAAATTACCCCCATAACGAGATACTGTCACCCGCTCACCAGCAAGACAGAACTGAGTCCACCAATCAACACCAAGTGTTGTGAGGATACGGAGCAACAGGAACCCACGGATGCCGCCAGTGAGGAGAAAATTGGTGCGACCACTTGACACAGTACTTACTAATGCTGAAATATTCACTGCATACCCTGTGCTCTAGCAGTTCCTTCCTGGGTTATATAGACTGGAGAGATGTATGCTCCAATGCACTAGGAATCACAGTCCAGGATGTTCTTACAGTATCGTTCACAGTAGCCAAAAAAGGAAAGCAACCCAAATGCCCACCAGTGTGTGCTGGATGGCTACGAATACGGCAGCAAGTTCATACGGTGGATACGCCACAGCAATGAACGGGAGCTCAGCACTGCGACACACAACAACATGGATGAAGCTCGCAGCATGACGAGAGAACAGGTTCAAGGTCATTCCAGCCGTATTAAATCCAGAATCAGGCAAAACTAAACTCTATTGCTAAAGGACACAGGTACAGGTGGTTATATGATCAAGGAAAGCAAGGAAGTGATTATCTTAAAAGCCAGGACAGTGGTGGCCTCGCGGGGAGGGGCTTATAACCAAGGTGGGGGCACATGAGATGATTTTGGAATTCAGGTTACATTCTGTTTTTTCATCTGAGTGGTCACGTTTATAATTATTTATTACATTATCCAGACAGGTTTATACCCTTTTTGGCAACTGTGCTCTATTTCACAATAAAAGGGGAGAGAAAAGGATGAGACATCAGTACATAGAAATAGAGGCTCTGATATTTTCTTCTCACATCTGGTTTTGAAAACACGATGATTAGGCCAAACAAACCAGATGAGAACCTCTAGTTAGTCACAGGTCTGGAGGAGCCAGCAATACCCAGGGCTGTCTGCAGAGAGGCTCCTCCAGCTGGCCTGGGCTACCCCTCGGCCCTTTCATCTTCCACCCACCCCAGGGCATCCCAGCCACCACATGCTCTGGTGGCCAAGACCAGGGGGCTGCATGAAGCTGGACTCTCCCTTACATCCACCTTCCCCTGTCCCGGGCCATTCCTCTGGGTCCCTGACAACAGAGCTTGGAGGCCCACACTGGGAAGGCACTGGGGGAGCAAGGCAGGTCTCAGACACCCTTGAAAGACACCAAAAGAAGGAGGGAGGCAGAAAAACAAATAAAGATGGAGAGAAGGGGGACAGAGAGCAGGAGAGGGCTGATGTTCCAGATGCCATGGAATTAGATGGAGGGTTGGGGGATGGGGATGCGGGAAGGTAGGGGAAAGAGGGGAGGAGAGAGGTGCTGGAGGCGAGGTAGTGGGGAGCAGATACACTCCCCTGGGTTCCAAGCCACAGGCAGGTCCAAAGAGGCCTGAGTTGTTGGGCCTGATTTAGCACCACATCCCCCACAGTCCAGGGCTTCCAAGTGACAGGTGGGTGGCCCAGGGGCCAGCAGCCTCCCCATGGCCTCACCTCGCATTCAGCAGCCTCAGCCTCCTAGAAGGAAGGACCCTGTCCAGGAGGGAAGGCTCCTGGGCCTGCAGAGGTGAGAGGACCCAGGGAGTGGGAGAGCTGCCCTTTCTGGGGCTCAGAGAGTGGGAAGGGCTGAGCCATGGTCTCAGCGCCAGCCTGAGCCCTTTTGTAAAAACTCTCTCTGGACCAAGAGGAATGCTCTTCGGACCAGAGGGCCAGACGTCAACACACTGACCAGTCATTTGGTCCATGGTTCTGGACTATCTTACGTTACTCTGTCTTTCTCTGTCCTCTGCAGTCACTGAAATTCCCTACCAGGCTGTCAGCTTTGGGGGAGGAGCCATGTCCTTATTCCCACCCACCTTGCTTGGCGGCCACAGAGCTAGGCACCCGGGAGGCATTCAGCCTGTGCCTGCTGACCCCAACGGTGCTCAAGGCTATGGGGCGCTGGAGCAGGTCCCTCGAGTTCCCTGGGCTTCAGTCCCCCTCCTCTCAACAACGCAAGGGCAGTGCCAGCCAGCCTCAGAGGCCCACAGTCCCACTGCCCCAGTTAGCCTGCAGCAAAGCTGGCTGGTGCCTCACTGGCTGGGGCAGCTGAGAGCACACCTGGCCAGAGCAGGGAGGGGACAAGAGGCGGCTGGGGGTGGGGGACAGGATAGTGTGTCACCTCCTGGCCACTCTGCACCCCTCAGGGACAGTAGGGGGCTGAGGCAGGTGCTGTCCCCAAACCAATTATAAACAAGGCGGAGGACAGGCTGTGACTTCCCTCTGCAAACAGGAGAAGACAAACTGGAGCCCCACCCCACAGACCTGCTGGTAGATCTGGTGGGGGAGGGCAAGGGCTGGGGGGAGGGACAGGCTGTGAGCCCTACACCAGAGCGAGTCTGGGCCTGGACACCTTGGCAGAGGCAAGGAGCTCCTCCTTGTCCAAGTCCCTGTGAACCAATGCCTGGGTCTTAGATGGTGACACTTCTGCACAGCAGACACCATGGTAAAGCATTAATGTGTCCTCACTTCTGAACAAATGACTGGGGCCCAATTCATGCTCACTCACTCCACAAAGATGCACTGAGCACCCGCTACATACTAGGCTCCCTTCTGGGCACTGGGGATACTGCATCAGACAAGACAGGCCCAACCCCTGTGCTCAGAGTGTGACCTATGAGTGGTCCTTTCATCTGTAGACTGAGGGGTTCAGACGCCAAGCTCATCTCACCACCCCTGGCAGGGCTGCAGGACCGGCCACCATCTCTTCTCACCTCCCACCAGGCTTCCCCCCAACCCCCTCAGCTTCCAAGGAAGACTCTGCCCCAACAGGCCCTGGTGCAAGCCCCCAGGTCACTGGACTATCTGCTGCCCTCCAGACCCAGGAAGATGATAGAGGCGTCACTACTCCCAACAGTGAACCCCCACCCACCCTCCCCACGTGTCCAGTCTAGGTGAGGAAAGGAGAAGGGAATGACTGTTTCTTGTGTGTGTTTTATCATTTTTATTATTAACAAAAACATGCAGTTCAGACAGTGATCACATACCCTCCATGGGGAGGGAAGATAAAAAACATGCTGGGGCTACCTACAGCTCACTTCAGCAAAGTGAGGGGCTGCTTTGGACACCTCTCCCTCCTTCCCTCCCCCTTTCTCCCCACCCCCTCATCGCACCCCCCACTCCTGATTCCAGCAATGCTGCTCTGGCTCTAAGCAATTTTGCAGGAGCTTCCGATCATGCCCAGCGTTCTGATGACTCTCAGGGCTAGTGCTGTCCACCTCACCCGGCCTGAAGCAATACGCATTTCCTAAACGCCTGTCCTGGAAGGTGGGGCCAAGGCTGGACATGGGTCAGTTTAATGGGAGGTGGGAGCAGAGAGCCAGGGTAGGGGATGGAGGGTTGACTATACCAGAGACTGGGGGTGATCCCTACCCCTGGGGACCTGGCTTCGAAAAGGAAACAGGCCTAAGAGGCCTGAAGCAATCAGAGACCCAGGAAACAGAAAGCGCTGGCCTGGGTAGCCACAAAGCAATAGGTTCTCAAAGTGTGGTCTGAGGACCAGAAGCGTTGGCATCACCTGAGAACAGGTCATAACTGCAAATTCCAGACCTATGGAATTTGTAGAATAGACCTATTGATTCCAGACCAACTCAATTAGCAACCCTGAGGGTGGGGCCCAGCAATCTGTTTTAACAATCCTCCAGGTGATCTGGATGCCCACTCAAATGTGAAAACCACTGTCCTAGAGAAAGGGCATCAGAATCATTCCAGGAATTTTTTTTTTAAATATTGATATCTAGGCCCCTCCCCCAAGACTCAGGTGCAGTGGCATTCTTCACGAGCTCCCGAGGTCACTGTAATATCCAACCAGAGCTGCAGTCCGATGGAGCAGTCCCCTGGTCTCCTGGGAAGGTGTGCCTTTCCCAGGATTTGGTTACAGGGAGGGGAGCAGGGGAGGGGGCACCAGGAGAAGGGACTAGTATGAACATGGACTGGGACGAGGGAATATGGACCATGGGTTTCTGGATGGTGTGTTGAAATTCCTGGATTAATCCCCATGGCCTCACATTTTCCTTCAGGACCTCCGCAGTGTGGGTTAGGGCCAAGGAGGCACTCTGGCCCCAAGGAAGCTGGACGAGGATGGGAATGCGCAGACCTCATTTCTCTTCCTCTTTATGCTCACACTTAAGAGACAGGGAAGAAAACTGGTGACAACTCTGCCTCTTGTTTCTGCCCTTCTTGGCTATCCTCTGCTCTCACCCACAGCCCCACCACCCCAGAGCAAGTAAAGCACTTCCCGTGGGCACTGTAAGTCCCAGACCCTGCTTTATTGCTGGGATTTTAGCTCTGCCTTCAGTGATATCTCGGCCAAGAAGATCCGTATCTCTGGTGCAGAGTGCAGGAGGGGCAGGCAGCGCAAGGGCAGGGGAGAGCCTCTGGTCAGGAGTGGCCAGGCCAGATGCTATCCAAGGAGCCCCAAGGGGCAGGGCAGGGCAGGGCAGGACAGGGGTGGGAGAGATGCTGCAGGCCTTGCCCAGTCTGCTGTCTTGTTAATTGTGGAGACCAGGCTGGGTGTGGCACAACAGGGAGCAGTGGGGACTGTAGCCACAGAGTCTGCAAAGCCTTGTGAAAGGCATTTTGTTTGAGGATGTCAGACGCATGGGAGAGGCCTGTTTGTAACCCATAGCTCTTTATTTCTCCCCCCAGAGCTCTCTAAGCCTCTATCTCCTCACCTGGAAATGAGAAATAAAGAAGTTATAGGAGTTAATTAGGATAATTAACATTTTTTGAGCACAACACTGTCCGAAGCCCTCTACACACAGCAGGGACCGACATCCCAGCCTCACTCACTACAGCACTGTTAGGTAGGTGCGACTAAATCCTCGCTTTCTAGGTGAGGACACAGAGGCACAGTGCTGCTAAGCAGCCTGCCCAGGGTCACACAGCTAGTAAGTGGCAGAGCTGGGATTCTGGAGCCCATGCTCTCGACCACACCCTGGCTAGGGTACTCTTGGCCCAGTGCTCAGTACATGGTGGCTATGGCTGTGTCCCAAGAAAACCTGGCTGGTTGCTCCACAGAGCCAGCCTTTAGGGAAAGCTATTTTGAGTGAACTTCAGCAGCCCCCCACCCCTGCGCACCTCACATCCTGCCCTTTCTGAAGCTTCTCTCGTCTTGGTGCCTTTGCTGGAGATGGTAGAGTCTTGCATTGGAGGGGACCCCACAGATGCTGTAGGTTCACAGACATGGAAACAGAAGCTGCGAGAAGCAAGGACCTGACAAAGCCAACAGAGCCTGTCAGCATGGGGTCTCCTGTGTTCCTCTCACCCAATGGTCCCTGCAGCCTTTTCTCTACATCTGGTTAAACAAGTACCTACTGAGGGCTCACTGTAAGTTAATGTTTGAGGTATCCAAGGAGACTCAGGAAGCCTTGTCTGAACCCATCCCCTCCCCAGGTGGTCAGAAGAGCTCTCGCCAGGGTCCTTTGTCACCTGTGTCAGCAGCTCAGAAGAGTAGCCAGGAGACAGATGTGTTCTGGGGCAGGGGCTTCAGATCAGGAGACCCTGGATGGGGAAAAGAAGGTTCCTGGACCACCACATCCTGCCTTTAAAGAGAAAACTCCTAGGAAACCCTGAAGTGGCCTTCCATAGGGATTGAGAACATGGATTTTGGCATCAGTTGGGCATAGGTTAGAATCCCTACCACTTCTAGGCTGTGTGACTTCAGGCAATCTGCTTAACTTCTCTGAATCAGTATAATGAAAATAATAATTCCTACTTCATTCTGAAGAGTAAATACACAATAAATGTTGTCATCTATTGTTTATAACTAATTTTTATTACAATATTGTTCTCTTATAGCATAAAGAGAATAGATAAATATTCTAGTAACAGTAGGTTATCATTACTCTCTCACAGGCATGCACGTACACAATGCATCTGTATACATGTACCTGGACACCTGTAATCTCATAACCAAATACACAAACCCCCATCAGTTACACACACCCGACATCGACATACACAGGAGCATCCTGGACTCACTATGTACCAGGCACCTGACTCCTCACAGCAGCCTGCGTCATGTGTGCATTTTTATCTCCCACTTTTCAGATGAGGATACATACATTATATGCAAAAATGCCTGCTGCGTCCTGGGATATAGACACTTCTGGTAGTTCTGGGAACCCTGAACTCCCTCCCTCTGTATCAGAGGAGGCCAACTCCACTTCCACGGTCATCTCCAGGGCAGCCCCAAGCTGGGCCCCAAGTGCTGACTACCCTCCATCCCTAGGACAAAGGCCCAACCTGGCTTTCATGCCAGCTGCGGTTGGGGAAACCCCTGCTGCTGGCAGAAACCACGTTGACTTTGAAAAAGAAGAGACAGAAGCCAGGGGGTGGCCGGGCCACTCCCTGTGGGGGCAGGTGCTAAGTAACTCTATAAACTCTGGCTAATGATGCAATTACTGCCATAAACAGAGCCCTAGGAGGGATCAGGGTCAGAAGTCAGACCCTCAAAGAGCAGCCAGGCCTGAGGGTTGGGAGGCTCCTCCCACCTGCTTTCCAGCTGACTTGAAACAGAGGCCTCATTGGCCATGGGGGTAAGAACTGGGTACCCCCACCATCCCAGAATCCTGGACGGGTTCCTGCCTGCCCTGGCCCACCCTCTGCCCACCTCGGACTATGAGCTGTCCCGCCACCAGCCCTAGGAAGGCCAGGACTGAGTGCTCACCTGAGGAGATGTCCCCTGCCCTCATCCTGTGCCCCTTCCATAGGACCCGGAACCAGCAGACCTGGGTTCCCATTTGGCTACACTACACAGAGCTGAGTTGAGGGCAAAATAGCACTGCAGCTGTAACAGACCTTGTAAACTGTAAGCAACATTGGCTGCCCTCCCAGACAGGTAGAGCAGAGAGTCACCCCAGACGGCCTGTCATTTACACTCTCTGGTTCTCTGCTCTCCAGTCCCAGAAGCCAGGAGGCAGGCAAAAAGAAGGGGGCCAAGTGAATTGCTATTTTCCCCCCGGCTAGGGAAACTGAGGCATGGAACAAGTACACCTCAGATTACCAGGCTGGGCTCCCAAGACAACCAGCCCTTTCCCTCAACTGCCTCTTATGGCCAGCCTTTAACTGTTGCTGGCTGTCTCCCAGGCTGGGCACAGAGAGGGCCTCAGAAGGAACAGGCCAAGGAACCAAAAACTGCTTTCTGATCTGAGGGCACTCACATCTGGAAGTCCTGGACACCAGAGACCACCCCCCCTACCTTCCCCTCCACCCCCAGTTGCCCAAGAGTGCCAGGTCTTGGGCTGGCAGAATCTCAGACATCAGGGTCCTGAGCCCACATCCCAGAGGAGTCACGGGTTGGGGGGGAGGTAGGTGTTGGGTGTGTGTGTGTGCGCGCGCGTGTGTGTGCGCGCGCGCACGCTGCACTGGCCTTGTCCCCTTCCCTACTTGACCAAGCATCCCTCTCTCAGCGTCTGGGGTGAGGGCCGGGCGGCAATTAACTGACACTTCCCCAACGAACGCGAAGTTTAGTCCAGAAACTGTTCGCTCAGAACCACCCCCAGAACAGGCCAGCTAGAGGACGACGGCAGGAGTGGAGAGGGATCGGGGTAGGACTCCGCGGTGAGGGGCTGGCAGGGAATACGAAGAAGGTAAGGGAGCCCTGGGCAGTGCGGGCGCTGGCGCT